GTAACTCCAGCTTTTTCAGATTAATTTTAATGAAAGAATTTTATGAGTCTCTGAGAATTGGTAATCTGTCATCTCTACTAACTTCTACACAGGTGTAATATCAAAGGTATATATATATTTTAAGTAATATAAAGAGTGTGGTAATGTCTAATAAATAAGGGAAAAAATCTCATGTGATATAATTTTTTCTGTATTTTAATACATTGGATCCAAATATTTATCCTAAAAAATATCAAGAAAAAAGTGACACTGTTATATCACTGAGATGTATAGTATTTCTGAAACGCTTAATACTTTCAAGAGACATTTCATTATTTCTGTTTCTATAATCTCAGATCTGTGGGAGTTAATTTAGCCATATATATTTTTTTAAATTGGAAAAAGATCTCCAAATATCCATTTATGGTCACCATCTCAGAACTGGAGTTACAATTTATGTGGTTAGGTCATTCTACTTAAGAAATTATAATTAATTGCATGTTAGAAGATTAGTATCTTGTTAAAGTAACTAGGAAACCCAAAATATTAACATAATACAAAAAGACAAGGGTACTCTGACACATAGGGGCTAGCTTAACAAAGTTTTCAGAGCTAAGCCCATGCCACAAACCCTATCACTGGGACTAGTGATACTGTTGTATCTACATATATCTATGCTCAGAAATAAGTACTCTCCACAGTGAGATTCAACTAAGTATTATTTGTTGAATGGGCATATCGAGTGTTACTAAGTGAACCAATATTCATTCAACTCACTTCATGTCAGGCACTGTGCTAGGCACTGAGGATTAAGAGGGAATCAAAATGTTCTTGCATGCAGCTTATAATTTATTGGGGGCAGAAAGGACTTGCAGGAGGTGGTGACATATGGAGAGCCTGGACAAGGGAAAGTATTGGCATTCTAGACGGAGGCCCCACCTTGAGCAGAGGCAATGAGATGACAAACAGCTGAACAGGAACGTACAAGCAGTAAGGGAAATGGCAGAAGATTAGGCTGATCCATAGGCAGGGTCCAGTTCTGTATGCCATGTTATGGAGCTTAGACTACATGCTGAGGTAAAGGAAAAACCACAGAATAATCTTAAGCAGGAAAAGTGGTTTAGTTAGATATACAATTTTGGTGTCTTAATGTAGCAGCAGGCTAGAGGATGGATGTGAGGGTGACAAGGATGAAGGCAAGACAAATAGTTAGGGTAGTGAAAGGGGCCTGATTCAGGGAAGCAGAGGTAGGGAGGAAAAGAAGAAATTTTTAGGTCATATATTGTTAATATTTGCTGATTGCTTAGCTGTTGAAAGTGTATGTAGGAAGGAAAACCAAGGATGGGTAATGGGAGATGTGAGGGAGTGTGGGGGAATGAGCTCTGTTTGAATATGCTGAATTTAAGATGACAGTGGGCCACTGAGTGAAGAAGCCCAGATAAGATCCCGAGCAGAGTCTGGTATAGAAATCCATATTTGGGAGACATCAAACAACTGAAAACATGAGAGGTAAAATGAGACCACCCAGGGAGAGTAGGGAATAAGAAAAGTATCGGTCTGAGAACAAAACTCTAGAGATCACTGATATTTAAGGGGCAAAAGAGGAGGAGAAGCTTATGAATGAGACAGTTAAGTAATAGCCAGAAACGTATAAGGAGAACCAGAAGAGTGAAGTGGCCAAGGAGTTCTTAGGTTTGTTTGTCTGGAAAAATGTTTTTTTTTTCTTAAATCAGAATTTGAACACCTTTAGAAAAGATATATATACCTTCCAGTTCAACTAAGTCCCCATCCCTACTTAATGCTGTACTATCTTCTGTGACCTGCCTTGCTTTTGCAGGCCTGTGTGTTTGTGACCCCAGAGTAGAAGCTTCTGAAAAAAGGAGTCATCATAAATGTCAAATGCAGTAGAGAGGACCAGGAGGATAGGGAATGAAAGATGTCCACTGATTTAGCAACAAGAAGGTCACGGTGATTGTAACTGAGGACAGCTCCTCTGTGGTTGTGGTAGCAGAACGTAGATCACAGAGGGGTGAAGAGAAAATAGATAAGGTGCACATAGCTACTCTTTAGAAATTTGGAGGAGAAGGAAGGAAGAGAGATTAAACAGCAACTAAAGGGAACATGGGTATAGGAAGACTTCTGTCTTAACTTTGTTTTTAAAAAATTAGACTGAATATGTTTAAACGCTGAGCTACTAGAGAGGCGGAAAGAGGAATACTGGAGAGATAGAGGCTGCCTGATGGAGCAAGATCGGGGAGAAGGTTGGAAGAGAAAGGTATGGAACATACAAATGGAGGGTTGAGAGCTGGACAAGTGGAGAGTTCAAGAGTCCTTGAACTCTAAGGTTGGAGGAAGAAGGCAAAGGAACTCAGATTTAATTAAGATCTAATGCAGCTTTGCAGTAGGAAGTGACATGATTAAATTGTGTTTTAAGAAAATTAGCTTGGCATAAGCATGCACGATGGATTGGAATGGGGAGAGTCAGCAGACTATGGCAATAACTCAAGCAGGAGATGATGGCAACTCAAACTAGAGTAGTGCCAAATAGGAATGGAGAAAATGAAAAATCTAAGAGACATTTCGAAAGGTCTGATGACATAATTCTGGGGACAGACTAGCATAGGGCAATTCAAGGAGAAGGAAGAGTCAAAATATCTCAAAGATTTTAAGTGTTATACTGGGAGATTAAAATGGTAGTATCAGGGTCAGAAATGAGGCAAATGGAAAGCACAGCCAATGTGGGGAGGGAAAAATGTTGGGCTTAATATATACAGAGTCTGAGGTGATAACTCAAATTTTAAACTCTGAAAGGAAACGAAGTCCTCTACACAATAGAAGACTACACAAAGAATGGAAAAAACTCAGGGTTGGGAGAGAATAAGAAACATTTCATTCCGATAGGGCATATAATTTAGGGTGACTCTAACATTCCTATGCCAGAAAAAAAATTAAACGGAAGCTGATATTTTAGATGTCTCAAAGTAAGATTACCTATATCATAAGTATTTTACTTTACCTGATATAAGTAAGGCTTTACTACCATAGAAAGATCCGTTTCTCAGATCCAGTAAAACTCTCTCCTAAACATGTAATCTTTTTTCAAATCCCAGACATTTAATATCAAATATGCTTTCTAGATGAGAGAATGCATACAATAAAACTAAAGTTTCCAAACTATACATTGGTTAGTGATTCAAGTACTGGTGTGCTGCTTTTCAGGTTTTGCTTCAGTCAATTAATACCAACAGTTACTACCAGCACTACTACTTAACACTCCTAATTCCAGAATTTTTAAGCTGGGAGGGACATTACACCAATCATAAGGGCCTGGGCATGGCAAGTGTCAGTGGTCCGCTTTTCATGAAGAAAACAGGTTGGTAAGTACTTCACTACGGTTGCATGGAGGGTACAAGGGAACTACAAATAAGTTTCAGGAAACTTAAATTGTTTCCTTGCTCCTTCTCCATTGTCAGAATTTTAGAAAATAATGTGGGGGTACAGTGTTGGAGTATGAAATTAGGGATTGGAATAGAGTCATTTGAAATAATCAGCATGAAAGTAACCTTTGGTGCCAGAATAATACTTAGAGTAATAAATTGTCTCCCTAGTGATGAAAGGAAGTAAAACAGCGCAGTAAGTTGGCATGTGAACACTGTAAGCTATCTGCAGAATTCTTGGACCAGGAAAAATTATCTTAAAATTGCCTAATCAAAAAGCAGGTCTAAAACCCTCCCCAAGCCCTTCCACAATTTCAAAATCTCTGTTAATACATTTCATGCAAAGATTACAAAAGTATATTACAATCATAATACTCGGCATGCTAAAAATCAAAGCTAACATCATGGGGGAGGTAGTACATATTCTAATATATGATTTATAATACAATATGAACTCAATTGAAGTCAAAGGGGTTAGGTGAGCCATCATCAAAATCAGAGGCAGCATGACATGATAGCAAAGAACAGGCCTATTTTGAAAATGCAGTAAATGATTGCACAGTTAAGGGGATGAACATGATACTCAAACTTACAAGTATTTACAGTCCAAGCAAATAAAACAGCACTCTTTAAAGCCCAGAGAACCATCATTCTTTCTTTTGCATTGCAACTACTATGTTATGAAGTCCCTCCCCATTTTATTTTCTCAAATATAATCCAAGAGTTCAATATTTTAAAAGGCCACCCTGGATAAATTTTCAAGAAATCATCCTCAGCTCCTGGAGGACTAATTTCCACATATATTTAATGTTCGTATATTTAATATTTGGGCATACAAAATCCCCTGGAGGCATCTTAAATTATCTCACAGGTGAAAAGCTTTAGAAACCATCTACTATTCCAAACTCTTTATTTTACAGATGCAGAAATCAAGGCCCAGAAATGGGAAGCAACCTGACCAAGGTCACAGGGCCAATAAGAACCAAAACTGGGACTAGCATCTAAGAGCCCTCTCAATCCATTGCTCTTTCTACTTTCCACAGCTGCCTCTCAACCTGAACCTCTAATGGTGTAATATTTAAGGAAAGATTAGATGGAAAGAATGGATAGATGCATATGTGGGTGAATGGACATTCCATAATATTATTCACAAAATATATTATGTTTCTGTTTTGAAGAAGCCAAGCCTAGTTCTTGTCACATGTCACAGCAGTCGCTGTTTTCCACTAGATACCAATCTTGGCAGCAAAGAACCTTCTAGTACATCCTGCAGTTTAGGAGACTATTCACTTGCCCGCATACATACAAAAAAGGAGGTTCGCCCCTACTCCAATCCCTCTGGCTCCCAACCCCCTAACTTCCCTGTCCTATACTCATTTTTTACCTGGCGTTGTTGCGTCACACTTACACTCTCCCCACTTCCTTTACACCTATCCACCCTCAGTTTCTCCATTAAGACCAGGTATCCCTTACTAACTGTATGCCTCAGTTAGCCCTCCCCCACTCCACAGGCCCTTGGATCCTTCCCATTCCACTGTTGCCAAATCTCAGCCTTTTCAAACCCCGTGGCCCCTTCTCGCTTACACAGTGATGTGGCCGGCGCCCCGCACCAATACAGGGTCGGGGGCATATCTCCGCAGATGCTCCTCGCTCACTACCCGAGGCGGGGGCGGCGCCTCCTCCTCTTCCTCCTCCTCCTCTTCCTCCTCCTCTTCCTCCTCCTCCTCCTCCTCCTCATCATCATCCTCGTCATCGTCGGGCCCAGATACCGACGACGACGACGGCGACGACGACGACGTTGCTGCTTCTTCTTCCTCCTCCTCCTCCAGTTCCGAGATGGTGTCGAACTCCGCCATGTTGGGCAGCAGGATGCTCATCACGTGACCTCGCGATCGCCGCCACTCTCACGGAGAAGAGTTTGAACCTGCTGAGGTGCTGGAAGAGGAGGGGGAACGAAATGAAGAGGAAGAGGAGGAGGGGGTAGGGACGGGATTTGAGGAAACGCGCCTGCGTGTTGGGCAGACGGGGGGGGGGGGGGACGGTTGTTGGAGGCGGGGGTATGAGAGAGAGGAGCGAATTCAGTGTACGCTTGCGCGGCTCGGAGGGGAGGGGGCTGTTGGAGGTGAACTCCGGGGAATTACCGAGGTCTGGTCTGCGGGTGCTGATCTTAACACTGCGCTCTCCGCACCCGCTGCTTCTATCCGGGGGACATACCTTCTGATTTAATTTCCGATTAATTAAGGCTGGATATTATTACCGCCAGTGCAGGCGGGAGAAGGAAAGCATATTCTATAAAAATAAAGTTAGCTCTTTGCCCAAAACATACGGTATATACCAATCTCTTACGTTTAAGAATTACACTTTAAAAGACTTTTGCGTCAGAACTTTGCCACAACACTGAAAGGCAGGGTAAGCATTTTTTATTAACATTTTACTCAAAGAGGAAACTCTGTTACTACTTCTATGTAGTACTTATGGAGGATTTTGTAAATGTCGGGGACTGTAGTAAGTGCTCTATATGAATGTCTCATTTAATCCTCCACAATCCTATGAGGTATGTACCACGATGATCTCATTTTGCAGATAGGAAATCTAGATGCAGAGAGATTAAGTAGCTTGTCCAAGGTCAGGGAGTTACTCAATGGTAGATCTGGTTTTACATTTGGACGTCTCTTCTGATTCCAAAAGCCCAGTACTCCTACCAAAGGGCTATACTGCCTGAAGTTGTTTGGAAAGGTTTTGTACAGCGGTGCCTTTTGAGCTGTTTCTTAAAAGATGAATCAGAATATGCATGTTGAATTTTGGAGGGTTTTTTTTGGGGGGGGGTAAGCCTGCCAACCTAATAAAACATGGATTAACATCATCCATTTTCCAGACACTGGGCTAGGCTCTTTCACATAACGCTTCAGTTAATCTTTAAACAATCCTGCGAGGTAGGCAGCATATATATATTTCGATGCCAAAACCAAGTCTCAAGAAATTTGAAGTAATTTTTTGAGGTCTATGGTGACATTTTGTCCAAAACGTCCCATTTTAAATAGTCTGTCTTCTCCACACCCACTAACATGTAGAAATCATATATTTTGAGTTTACAAACAATGTACCAAACTAGTTCGTATTTGGCAGCAGCACAAAAATTCGTATTATTAAGACATGAAGGCACACAGCTAAGTAACACAACAAATATTGTAATCCAGGTATTCTAATACCAGCTTCACTGCTCTTTCTGCTGCAGTACAGCCTCATGCCAATCAGATGGTGAGACTCTGGAAACGGACAGCCACACTTTAATTCAGGATGAGCAATACAGTAACAGTGTAGCAGTATAGCAGTATAAACAAAGTACGTAGGGTGTATGAAGGAGGAAGAAATTAGTTCTGTAAGAGTAACAAATCTCACGCCTGTAATCCTAGCACTCTGGGAGGCCGAGGCGGGCGGATTGTTTGAGCTCAGGAGTTCGAGACCAGCCTGAGCAAGAGCGAGACCCCGTCTCCACTAAAAATAGAAAGAAATTAATCGAACAACTAAAAATATATAGAAAAAAATTAGCCGGGCATGGTGGCGCATGCCTGTAGTCCCAGCTACTCGGGAGGCTGAGGCAGGAGGATCGCTTGAGCCCAGGAGTTTGAGGTTGCTGTGAGCTAGGCTGACGCCAGGGCACTCACTCTAGCCCGGGCAAAAGAGTGAGACTCTGTCTCAAAAAAAAAAAAAAAAAGTAACGAATCATTATCATCAAAGAGTTTGTGTTATTAAAGTGAAAAATTTAACATTTTATTCAAAAGTTTTTAGAAACTTTAAAAGTAAGTTGTAGCACTATCAATAAGCAACAAAATATAGCTTTTTGTAGTATAGAAAACTTCATGTATTAGCCAGAAATTATAAGAACTGGAACCTTAAAATATTTCATAATAGTCTTCTGGCAACACATATATATCTTTACTTTTCTTGGATGTTAGTAAATGTGTCATACATCAACTATGGGAGTGAAATACCTTACATTTAAGATTGATTCCATATTCTGCACCAGTTCTCTTTCAAGAAGCAAAAAAACCCATAGATGAGACTAAAATTTTTCCAAATATATTATCCACAATGGTCCACTAAGTTAATATCTAGAGGGTAAAGTATTTTGCTGATTACTGCTTAAATGGTAGTTTCCCCTTTTCACCACTCAAGATTAGGTTAGGAAGGGTTATTTGAAGGAGAGACAGGGGAGCAAGGGGTGGACTTTGTGACAAGTGCGAATAAGGTATTGGAACTATGGTAAAAGTGAAGAAATGATGGCTGTGGAGAATGGGAGGAAAAGAAAGGGAGGAGGAAATTCTCCCAAAGTGGAAAGAGGCCCCTGACATTTAGTCAGATGTCAAAAGGACAAAGCGGTTCAGGGAAGTGCTTTACTTGGCTAAATGCACAAGTATGTCAAAACTGCTCATCCATTTTCTCCTATATACGTTGTGCTTAAAAGGTATGTGTGATTCCAAAGGTAATTTATTTTACTGAATTGTAGGAGAATTTGGGGTTGAGCAAGCTGAGAAAAACACATTTTGTTTATATATTGTCAATAAACATGAGAAACACCATGGCTTCTAAATGATACTTTAGCATTGAGAATAGTAAATCAAGGAGTGGATGGAAAAGAAAGCAGGCCACGTAACATTCTGCCCCGTGTGCTAAGCAGGGCATTTGATTAACTCTCTCATCTAATGGATGGGGACCTGAGGCATGAGGTCACAGGCTTTATGATCTGAGAGGGGCTCAAGTTTAAAACAGCTGTAACATTTATTTATTTATTATTTATTTATTTAGAATATTACCTGGGTACAAACATTTTGGTTGCATAATTTGCTTTCGTACAGTTTGAGTCGAAGTTATAAGTGTGCCCTTCAGCCAGTTATTTATTGTGCATTATACCCGTTAGGTATGAATTTACCCATCCCCTCCCACCCACTTGATTTCCCTTGAATTTTACTTCCATATGTGCACAAAAGTGTTGGTCAGTTAATTCAAGTTAGTACTGAGTACATGTGGTATTTGTTTTCCATTCTTGCTATACTTCACTAAGAAGAATGGCCTCCAGTTCCATCCAGATTGTTACAAAAGATACTAGGTCTCCATATCTTTTTGTCTTTATGACTGAGTAGTGCTCCATAGTATACATATACCACAATTTATTAATGCACTGAGGTATTGATGGGCATTTGGGTCGATTCCACATCTTTGCGATTGTAAATTGTGCTGCTATAAACGTTTGATTGCAAGTGTCTTTTTAATAAAATGTCTTTTTTCCTTTGGGTAAATACCTAGTAGTGGGATTGCTGGATCAAATGGTAGGTCTACTTTTAGTTGTTGAAGTATCTCCATACTATTTTCCATAGAGGTTGTAGTAGTTTGCAGTCCCACCAACAGTGTGTAAGTGTACCTTTCTCTCTGCATCCTCGCCATCATCTGTTGTTTTGGGACTTTTGGATAAAAGCAATTCTCACTGGAGTTAGGTGATATCTCACTGTGGTTTTGATTTGCATTTCCTTGATGATTAGAGATGTTGAGCATTTTTTCATGTGTTTGTTGGCTATTAATCTATCTTCTTTTGAAAAGTTTCTGTTCATGTCTTTTGCCCACTTTTTAATGGGGTTGCTTGATTTTTTTCTCACTAATTTGCTGCAGTTCTTTGTACATTCTTGTTATCAGCCCTTTGTTGGATATATAGCATCCAAATATTTTCTCCCATTCTGTAGGTTGTACATTTGCTCTATTGATGGTGTCCTTGGCTATGCAGAAGCTATTTAATTTGATCAGGTCCCATTTATTTGTTTTTTGTTATTGTTGTTGTTGTGAAGGCTTTTGGGGTCTTCTTAAATTCTTTGCCTAGGCCAATGTCTATAAGAGTTTCTCCAACATTTTCTTCTAGAATTCTTATAGTTTCATGCCTTAGGTTTAAGTCTTTTATCCATCATGAATTAATTTTTGTGAGAGGTGGGAGATGTGGATCCTGTTTTAGCCATTTGCATGTGCCTATCCAATTTTCCCAGCACCATTTATTGAATAGGGATTCTTTATGCAAGTGTATGTTTTGTCTGCTTTGTCAAAGATCAGATGGCAATGTGAGGATGGATTCATATCTGTGTCCTTTGTTCTGATTGATAGATCTATGTCTCTGTTTTTGTGCCAGTACCATGCTGTTTTGGTTACTATACCCTGTAGTATAGCTTGAAGTCTGGTAAAGTGATACTTCCTGATTTATTCTTATTATGTAGGATTGCATTAGCTACTCAGTGTCTTTTCTGGTTCCACATGAAGTGTAGAACTATTTTTTTTGAGGTCTGCAAAAAATGACATTGGTATTTTAAAAACGACTGCATGGAATCTGTAAATCACTTTAGGTAGTAGAGACATTTTAACAATGTTGATTCTGCCAATCCATGACCATGATATGTTTTTCCATCTGTTCCCATCCTCTGCAATTTCTTTCCTCAGTGTTTTGAAGTTCTCCTTATTAGAGGCTCTCACTTCCTTAGTTAAATATATTCCTAGGTATTTTATTTTCTTTGTTGCTATTATGAAAGATATTGAGCCTTTGATTTGATTCTCAACTTGACTGTTATTGGCATGCAGGAAAGCTACTGATTTCTGTGCATTGATTTTGTAGCCTGAGACTTTGCTGAATTCATTTAACAATTCTAGGAGTCTCTTGGTTAAATCTTTGGGATTTTCTAGATATAAGATCATACTGTCAGCAAAGAGTGATAGTTGGACCTCTTCTTTCCCCATTTGGATACCCTTGATTTCCTTCTCTTGCCTGATTGCTCTGACAAGGACTTCTAGCACTATGTTGAATAGAAGTGGTGATAGTGGGCAACCTTTTGTATTTCCAGTTCTAAGTGGGAATGCCTTCAATTTTTCCCTCTTTGGTATGATGTGGGCTGAGGGTTTGTTGTATATGGCTTTTATTATTTTGA